TCTATAGCAGTGCTTAATGCACAACCCTTACAGAGGCAAAGTCCCGCCTTCACATTCAGGATACGATCCATCATGTTGTGTGGTCCACCACCATGCTGAGGGATCGATTTTGAATACAGTTTGTCACTCAAGACTAAGCATCCATAAAGAAAAATTCTCATGACCCCTGAAATTTCCTTTAGACAAAGCTGAATTGCTGACAGCTATAGAACGATGATAAATGTCCAGCTCTAATTTCAAACAACTTGGATTTGAGTTTTAAAGAATTGGTCACAGGCTTCAACAGATGGAAATATTGGCATCTGGAAAGTTTATTAAGTAAGGCCTTCTTGCAGCTTCGAGGTGACTTTGCTGCTCAGTGACTTCTGGATCTGTAACAACAAAATTCCAAGACCAGAGAGAGTTGCTACGAAACAATTAGCATATCCCAGGGCAACATTCCCTTTCATTTTTCTTCCACCTGTGCACGTCTCCGGGTTGCACAGGGCTTCCCAACGGCTGCACAGATTACAGGGATCTTTGACCCTTCATCCTCTCAAAGACAATTTTATCTCCCCCTGTAATTTAAAAAAAGCCATTTTTTATCGCATCGCTTAGATTAGCTGTTTTGCCAAGGTAAGTTGATTTGCAGAAAAACAGCAGGATGCTTACAGCACACAAACTTGACTTTTGCAAATAGGTGGATTAGGTAATGATGCTTATTTAACAAGCCAGTGCTGGCACGATGGGTCAAACGATCTCCTTTGGATTCAGAACGCTAAGTCACAGCCCACATAATGAACAAAAATCAGACCATCCTGCTCAATTCAGAAACCATCCAAATAATTCCATGACTTCTAGTTCCTTCAAAGTCCTTAAACAAAGATACGCATTCTCAACTTTCATTGCTCAATACCATTGCATCCAGCTGTGAATGGCAGTGGACAAATAAACAATTTCCTGGGGGATATGGCTCCACTAAATATTCTCAGCATCTATGATGAAGGAGCCCTGTACATCAGTGCAAAATAAGACTATAAAAAATAGAATCAAGAAGAGTGTTTGGCCACTTGAGCCTGCTCCACCATTCTGATCTGACACATGTCCACTTTCCTGACCTCTCCCAATAACACTCAATTTGCCTACTGATCAAGAATTCATCAATTTCAGCCTTAAAAATACTCACTCTACCTGCACAGCGCTCTGTGGCAAGAATTTCTGGAGACAACCCTTCAAGAGAAGAAATTCTCCATCAATTCAGTCTTAAACTGGCATCCTTTACTTCTAGGGGAAACATCCGAGAATGGTTGATTGAATTTGGCCTCTGGGCAACCAGGGATGGGCAATAAATGGTCTATCTAGCCAATGATGCCCTCATCCCATGAATGAATTAAATAAAAAATCCTCTCAGCATTCACCCTACTAAGCCCCTTAAAAATCACATATGTTTCAATGAGATCTAGTCTCATTCTTCTAAACTCCAGTGAGTAGAGTTCCAATCTATTTAACGTTTGCTCATAAGACAAACCCTCCACACTGGGGATAATCCTCGTGAGCCTTCTCTGAACTGCCTCCAATGAAACATTATCTTGCCATCAACAAAGGGGACCAAAACTGCTCATAGAACTCCAGATATGGTCTCACCAGCACCCAGTACAGTTGCAGTAAGACTCCCCTTCTCCAACCCCCTTAAATAAAGGCCAACATTTCATTAGCCTTTAATTACCTGCCATACCTGTATGCTAGTTTTGTGTTTCCTACACAAGTACATCCAAATCCCTCTACAAAAGTTGTAGGTTTTTGCAGTCTTTCTCCATTAAAACGTGTATTAAATATAAATAGATAAAGTGGCACTAGACACTACAAAGGCTATGGGTACAGACTACGTATCGGCAACAGGACTGAAGTTACATTCTCCCGAACTAGCTGTGCCCGTCAAAAAGCTGTTCCAGTACAGTCATAAACACTGACATCCACCCGGTAATGTGGAAAACTGCCAGGGAGAGTCCTGTCCACAATAGGAAGGACAAATGCAACCTGGCTAATCTTGTCAGTCTTTTGGTTTGGAAATTTGTAAATGGGGGAGGCGATGGCCTAGTGGTATTACCGTTGGACTGTTAATCCACACACCCAGGTAATGTTCTGGAGACACGGGTTCAAATCTTGCCATGGCAGAGGGTGGAATGTGAATTCAAAAAAAGTCTGGAATTAAAAGTCTAATGATGACCAAGAATCTATTGTCAATTGTTGGAAAAACCAATCTGGTTTACTAACATCCTTTAGGGAAGGAAAGTGCCATCTTTACCTGCTCTGATCTACATGTGACTCCAGACCCACAGCCATGTAGTTGACTCTTATTGCCCATTACCCTTCAGAGGGCAGTTAAGTGCTGGCCCAGCCAGCGATGCCCGCATCCCGTGAATGAATTGTTTTTTTAAAAAATGTGATGTGGGCGTCACATAGGCCAGCATTTATTGTCCAATCCAAATCAGTTGTTAGGAAGATACAAAGCTGCCTTCTTGAGGCATTGCAGTGTATGTGGTGCAGGTGCATCCATTATGCTATTAGGCAAGAAGTTCCAGAATTTTGACCAAGCAATAATGAAGGAACAGCAATAAAGTTCTGAGGCAGGATGGTCAGTTATCACAAGTAGACCAGATCAGATAAAGATGGCAAACTTCCTCTCCTAAAGGACAACAGTGAACCAGATGGGTTTTAAAAGATAATCAACAGGTGTCTATTGGTCACCATTAAGCCATGTCATAAGAATACTAACTGGTATTCTGGATTACTAGTCCAGTGACATTACCACTACATACTTTATCCCAGGAAAGATGAATAAAAAGGTGTAAAACATTTGTGGGCAGCTCCAAACATTTGGTCCAGCAGTTCTAAGCAGTACTTTAACTTCAACCGAGCAATTACTGAGTTTGTTGAAAAGCACATTAAATACATCAGTTACTACTACTTCTTTGAAAGCTGCTAGATATTGGGGTGGCTCAGTGATTAGCACTTCTGCCTCACAGAGCCAGGGACCTGGGTTCAATTCTACCCTCGGGTGACTGTCTGTGTGGAGTTTGCACGTTCTCCCAGTGTTTGTGTGGGTTTGTTTCGGGTGCTCTGGTTTCCTCCCACAGTCCAAAAGGTGTGCAGGTTAGGTGGATTGGCCATGCTAAATTGCCCATAGTGTCCAGGGGTGTGTAGGTTAGGTGGATTAGCCATGGGAAATGCAGGGTTAAAGGGATGGATTGGGGGGGGCGGTGTTGAATCTAGGTAGGATGCTCTTTGAAGGGTCGGTATGGATTTGTTGGGCAAAATGGCCTGTTTCCACGTAGGGATTCTATGGAGTAGTTGAGGTTTGTTTCTTCTGATGGGCTGTAACTGTCATTTCCAACTGTTTGAACTGACTACATTGAGCTTTCTTGTCCATATTTATCTTACTGGCGTTTCCAGTCCACCTGTTTACTTTTATTCATTCATGGAATGTGAAAAGCCAGGATTCATGGCTAATACCTAATGCCCTTGACTGGTGTTCTATATCAATTTAGAAGATAACAAATGTTTAGTAAGCAAGTAATTAAAGAATACATATACCATGACAATGAGTAACAAGAGTGCTTTCCTAACTGTGCTCATTACTCCATTTTTGATTTAATCACCAAAAACATAGCTGGCCACCCGTGAATTCTCAATTTAAATCCTACGAAAGTAATGCAGTCAATAACATTGCCTTAGGGTCTTAATCATCTATGTTTACAGTTGTTCAAAATCAATTGGCAGAACTTTGAAGTTTAAAACTCAACAATAACTTTCTCGCTGGTTTAGACCAGTAACTCATATGAACTTTGCCATGAAGCCTTTACATTTTCGTATCAACACACTGGACAGAAAAAATACACTGGCAGGAAGTTTAGCCCATAGCACTGACTCTTCATAATTCTGGTTCATTAATCTACAGTTAATGGGGGGGAAAAAAGCATTCAAAATGTCAGGTCCAGCTGAGCTCAATCCTGTGCTATACTAACAGCAGTCCTTAATTATCAATCAATAATAAACGCCAACAGCAGCTTTCCTTTTACTCAGTCTAACAGTAGTAAGGTCAAATACATCAACTGAATTCAACTCATTCAATCCAATCCGGGACTTTCCAGGCACTCAGTCTAACACACAGCAACACACAAGTTTCTAAATGCAATTGGATATTTTAAAAACAAAGCACTTTTATGTCTAATATATTACTTTATTAAATCCTTAGCTATTTAACACACCACAGTGAAGAGCTAATTTATACATTGGAAGATATCTCAAACTGAAATTTCAAAACATGTGCTTAAAGCAATGACAGAAATGAAGCATGGGGAATTGTTATTAATTAATACAAATTAAATAGAGTTCAGAGTCAGTACTGTACAGCATGCAAACAGACCCTTCTATCCAACTCATCCAGGCCTCTATTGGGTTACCCTCTGACACTCCAGGAAAAATAGCTCCATCTGATTCAGCTTCTCCCTATAGCTCAAAACCTCCAACACTGGCAAATATTCCTTGTAAATCTTTTCTGAACCTTTTAAAGTTTTACAACATCTTTCCTATAGCATTGGAGACCAGAATTGACACAATATTCCAAAAGTGGCCTAACTACTGTCCTGTACAGCCACAACATGCCATTCCAACTCCTGGACTCAATGCACTTTACTCAAAGCACCTTAAAGACCCTTCTGAAGAAAGGTCCAGACCGGAAACGTCAGCTTTCCTGCTCCTGTGATGCTGCTTGGCCTGCTGTGTTCATCCAGCTCTATACCTTGTTATCTCACCTTAAAGACACTGGTCTTCAGTGGAAAATCAAGTTAATGCAACCAGTGGTTCCAAATAACTTTTCCTCAGTTGGAGGAAGTCATCAATTTCTTAAATAGTAATAACATGGCTTGCTCCATTGTACAAAATGATCAAATATTGCTTCATATAAAAGTGGGCAGATACTTTTATGATCAATTAGTTAAGCAAAGGTAAAGATGACTCACCGGTCAACAAGTTTTTTTGCAAATCCAAAGTCAGTAAGCTTAATATGACCGTCTCTGTCCAGGAGAATATTTTCAGGCTTTAAATCTCTGTAAACAATGTCTTTGGCATGTAGGTATTCTATTGCACACACAATCTCTGCAGAGTAAAAAAGTCCAGAACTATTGTTGAAACGTCCAAGGTTACGCAAGTAAGAAAACAGTTCTCCTCCAGGCACGTATTCCATCAACATATATAAAAACCGTTCATCATGATGCGTCCAGTATCTGTTGGTAAAATTAAATATTAAAAAATGACCATTAGTCAAGTCCACTAACTAATGTTACAATGAAAAATAAGCAAATTTGTTAAATGAGATCCAACAGCAAATATTCTAGCATCTCATAATAGAAAACTACAATCCATTATTTTTGTGCTGCTGATAGTACAAAGCTAGGTGGAAGTCACGAGGAGGACATATAGGCATTTCAAAAAGATATAGACAAGTAAGTTGACTGGACAACATTACAGGAGACCACAAAGTGGGTCACCCAGTCTGGGACAGTATTACAGGTAGTTCTCCTATAACACAATAGTTGCATTCTTGTGTGACCTCACACTATAGGGAAATCGCCGTAGAAAATCACCATACTTGTACAGCAGAAAGTTTGCATTATCCAAACAGTGTCAACTATTCATCAATCGTGTTATAGCCAATTTGCATTAACAAAACAAACGTTATAGCAGAACTACCTTTACTCAGATTCTCCAAATCCTTTTCCTCAGCTGCTTCCCATTTCTCATTCAGATATGTAGAGAGAGCGCCAACACTTAATGCTGACTGGGTGACCACTTTCCCAACATCTACACTTATCCATAAAAATGACCCCCAGCTTCCAGTTGCCTGCAACTTAGACACACTCACTGTAGTGTTTGCTGACCAATGAACCTATCTCAAGTAAGTTGCAGTGCTCCAGCGAGACTCAGCGCAAGCTAGAAGCACAACACTTCATTTTCCACTTGGGGATGTTACAGCCTTGAGGACTTGAGTTTAATCATTTTACAGCATGACCACTTCCTCCCATGTCAATTACCCACCCCTAACACTTCACGTCCTGGTATAATACGGGCTGCGCTCAGCTCAGCCAAACCATTTTCACTTATTTTAGCCCCTGTCATCACCTTGCTAAATTTCTTCTGTTCCCTGGTTTACTATCTCCATCCCTTATATAACCTTTTCTTTCTTTTTCTCTGGGTGCCATCTCCATCTGATCAATCTTCTCCATCATCTCCACCCCACCTTGCATCAGCATAATTACCACCTTTTCCAAGCTGCTGTCAGTTCTGAAGAAGGGTCACTGGACTCAAAACATTAGCTCTCTTTTCTCTCCAGAGATGCTCTAAGAACAAAGAACAAAGAAAATTACAGCACAGGAACAGGCCCTTTGGCCCTCCAAGCCTGCACCGATCCAGATCCTCTATCTAAACTTCTCGCCTATTTTCCAAGGATCTGTATCCCTCTGCTCCCTGCCCATTCATGTATCTGTCTAGATACATCTTAAATCGCTATTGTGCCCACCTCTACCATCTCCGCTGGCAACGCATTCCAGGCACCCACCACCCTCTGCGTAAAGAACTTTCCACGCATATCTCCCTTAAACATTTCCCCTCTCACCTTGAAATCGTGACCCTAGTAATTGAGTCCCCCACTCTGGGAAAAAGCTTCTTGCTATCCACTCTGTCTATACCTCTCATGATTTTGTAGACCTCAATTAGGTCACCCCGCCACCTCCGTCTTTCTAATGTAAATAATCCTAATCTACTCAACCTCTCTTCATAGCTAGCGCCCTCTATACCAGGCAACATCCTGGTGAACCTCCTCTGCACCCTCTCCAAAGCATCCACATCCTTTTGATAATGTGGTGACCAGAACCGTGCGCAGTATTCCAAATGTGGTCGAACCAAAGTCCTATACACCTGCAACATGACCTGCCAACTCTTGTACTCAATACCTCATCCGATGAATGAAAGCATGCCGTATGCCTTCTCGACCACTCTATCCACCTACGTTGCCACTTCAGGGTACAATGGACCTGAACATCCAGATCTCTGTGCATCAATTTTCCCCAGGGCTTTTCCATTTACCACATAGTTCGCTCTTGAATTGGATCTTCCAAAATGCATCACCTCACATTTGCCTGGATTGAACTCCATCTGCCATTTCTCCGCCCAACTCTCCAATCTATCTATATTCTGATGCATTCTCCCCTTCACTATCTGCTACTCCACCAATCTTAGTGTCATCTGCAAACTTGCTAATCAGGCCATCTATACCTTCCTCCAGATCATTTATGTATATCACAAACAACAGCAGACCCAACACAGATCCCTGTGGAACACCACTGGTCACAGTTCTCCATTTTGAGAAACTCCCTTCCACTACAACTCTGTCTCCTGTTGCCCAGCCAGTTCTCTATCCATCTAGCTAGTACACCCTGGAGCCCATGCGACTTCACTTTCTCCATCAGCCTACCATGGGGAACCTTATCAAACGCTTTACTGAAGTCCATGTATGTGGCATCTACAGCCCTTCCCTCATCTATCAACTTTGTCACTTCCTCAAAGAATTCTATCAAGTTGGTAAGACATGACCTTCCCTGCACAAAACCGTGCTGCCTTTCACTAATAAGCCCATTTTCTTTCAAATGTAAATAGATCCTATCCCTCAGTATCTTCTCCAGGAGCTTCCCCACCACTGACATCAGGCTCACCGGTCTATAATTACCTGGATTATCCTTGCTACCCTTCTTAAACAAGGTGACAACATTAGCAATTCTCCAGTCCTCCGGGACCTCACTCGTGCTCAAGGATGCTGCAAAGATATCTGTTAAGGCCCCAGCTATTTCCTCTCTCGCTTCCCTCAGTAACCTGGGATAGATCCCATCCGGACCTGGGGACCTGTCCACCCTAATGTCTTTTAGAATACCCAACACTCCCCCCTCCCCCCATGCTGACTTGACCTACAGTAATCAAACATCTATCCCCAACCTCAACATTGTCATGTCCCTCTCCTCAGTGAATACGGATACAAAGTACTCTAAGAATCTCACACATTTTCTCTGACTCCTCGCATAACTTCCCTCCTTTGTCCTTGAGTGGGCCAACCCTTTCTCTAGTTACCCTCTTGCTCCTTATGTATGAATAAAAGGCTTTGGGATTTTTCTTAACCCTGTTTGCTAAAGATATTTCATGACCCCTTTTAGCCCTCTTAATTCCTCGTTTCAGATTGGTCCTACTTTCCCGATATTCTTCCAAAGCTTCATCTGTTTTCAGTCGCCTAGGCCTTACGTATGCTTCCTTTCTCCTCTTTGTTAGTCTCACAATTTCACCGGTCATCCATGGTTCCCTAATCTTGCCCTTTCTATCCCTCATTTTCAGAGGGACATGTCTGTCCTGCACTCTAATCAACCTCTCTTTAAAAGCCTCCCACATATCAAATATGGATTTACCCTCAAACAGCTGCTCCCAATCCACATTCCCCAGCTCCTGCCGAATTTTGCTATAGTTGGCCTTCCTCCAATCAGCACTCTTCCTTTAGGACCCCTCTCGTCTTTGTCCATCAGTATTCTAAAACTTACGGAATTGTGATCACTATTCCCAAAGTAATCCCCTACTGAAACTTCAACCACCTGGCCGGGCTCATTCCCCAACACCAGGTCCAGTATGGCCCCTTCCCGAGTTGGACTGCTCTAGAAAACCCTCCTGGATGCTCCTTACAAATTCTGCTCCATCTAAACCCCTAACACTAAGTGAATCCCAGTCAATGTTGGGAAAATTAAAATCTCCCATCACCACCACCCTGTTGCTCCTACATCTTTCCATAATCTGTCTACATATTTGTGCCTCTATCTCACGCTCACTGTTGGGAGGCCTGTAGTACAGCCCCAACATTGTTACCACACCCTTCCTATTTCTGAGCTCTGCCCATATTGCCTCACTGCTCGAGTCCTCCATAGTGCCCTCCTTCAGCACAGCCGTATATCCTCTTTGACCAGTGATGCAAATCCTCCACCCCTTTTACCTCCCTCTCTATCCCACCTGAAGCATCTATATCTGGGGATATTTAGTTGCCAATCTTGCCCTTCCCTCAACCAAGTCTCAGTAATAGCAATAACATCATACTCCCAGGTACTAATCCAAGCCCTAATTTCATCTACCTTACCTACTACACTTCTCGCATTAAAACAAATGCACATCAGACCATCTGTCCCTTTGCGTTCATCACCTGCTCTCTGCCTACTCTTCCCCTTAGTCACACTGACTTCATTATCTAGTTCCTTACAGGCTTTAGTTACTACCTTCTTACTATCCACTAGCCTCCTCATTTGGTTCCCACCCGCCTGCCACATTAGTTTAAACCCTCCCCAACAGCATTAGCAAAAGCAGCCCCTAGGACATTGGTTCCAGTCCTGCCCAGGTGTAGACCGTCCGATCTGCAATAGTCCCACCTCCCCCAGAACCGGTCCCAAAGTCTCTAAGGCCTGCTGAATTCTTCTCGTTGTTTTTGTACTTTTTAACTCTCCAGCATTCACAGTTCTTTGTTTCATTTTAGACAGACTTCCAGTCACTCACGGAATCAAGACAAGCTGACAGAGTGGAGTCAAGGTCAGCTATGATCATAATGAACGATGGAGCAGACTTGATAAGCCAATGTGTTCTACTCCTGCTCCTATTTCTTTTATGTTCTTGCCTGTAGTTCATAGTACAGGATCAGTCCCAGCTACCAGTTGCCCAAGCAGATACCAACACAAAAACCATGCACAATATTGCATAAGTATACAACTGGAGTTAATTTGAGATACGGAAATAATAGGTAGCAAAAACAGGAAGGCAGATTATCACCTAAATGGCAATAAATTGAGAGAGGAATGTGCATAGAGAGCTGGATGTCTTCATACAGCAATTGCTGAAGGTAAGCATGCAGATGTAAAGGTGGCCAATGACAAGTTGGCCTTCATAGTGGTAGTATTAGAGTACAGCAGTCGGGATGACTTGTGGCAAATGTATAGGGCTTTAATGAGACCACACCTGGAGTATTGCTTGCAGTTTTGGTCACCTTATCTATGGAAAAATGTTCTTGCTATAGATCAAGTACAAGACAGCAGAGATTTACCAGACCAATTCTTGGGATGATGGAACTGACATTTGAGGAGAGGTTAAATCAGTTAGGATTACATTTGCTAGAGCTCAGGGGTTCTCAAGCAGTACAGTAAGATGCTTTAGCTGGAGCTCATCCACTCTGTCCATTTCTTTTCTTTTTCTCTCTCTTTTTGTGCATTTTTAAAAATAAAATCCCCAGAGTGGAAACCGGCCATTCGGCCCAACAAGTCCTAACCAACCCTCCATACAGCATCCCACCCAGACCCATCCCCCTGCTCTAACTCTGTGACCCTGCATTTCCCACGGCTAATGCATCTAACCTGCACATCTCTGAACACTATGGGAAATTTAGCATGGCAATCCATCTAAATTGCACATCTTTGGACTGTGGGAAGAAACCGGAGCACCTGGCAGAAACCCATACAGACATGGGGAGAACGTGCAAACTCCACACAGACGTTGTCCGAGGCTGAAATCGAACCTGGGACCCTGGCACTGTGGGCAGCACTGCTAACCAGAGCCACAGTGCCACTTTTTTGAAGAAACTTCCCATTTTCAAGTGGCATCGGCAATGTCCGGGATGAAAGCCAGCATAGATACCCAGCCTCAGCACGGACTCAGATTCCCGGTCTCAGCATGGACTCAGACTCTCGACACTCCCAGCCTCAAGGTGAAGCGAGGCGCAGTCGAGGTTGGAAGGACTGTTATTCTGAACTTTTATTTCTCTATTTTTCTCATTTATTGCTTGACTGAGGTCTCAGGATATGGTGAACAACATTTATGACCCAGACGAGGAGAGATTTGTTCACCCAGACAGTGATGAGCCTGTAGAATTTGCCACCAGAGTCAGAGTTATACGGAAACAGACCCTTCAGTCCAACACGTCAATGCTGACCAGATATCCTAAATTAATCTAGTCCCATTTCCCAGCATTTGGCGCATATCCCTCTAAACCCTTCTTATTCATATACATATCCTGATGTCTTTTAAATGTTGTAATTGTACTAGCCTCCACCACTTCCTCTGGCAGCTCATTCCATACATGCACCATACTGTGTGAAAAAGCTGCCTTTTAAGTCCCTTTTGTATTTTTTTCCCCCTCTCACCCTAAAACTATGAGTGATAGTTTTGGATTTCCCTACGATGAGAAAAAGACCTTGGCTATTCATCCTATCATGCCGCTCACGATTTTATAAACTTCTATAAGGTCACCCCTCAGTCTCCAACGGTCCAGGAAAAATAGCCCCAGTTTATTCAGCCTCTCCCTTTAGCTTTAAACCTGGCAACATCCTTGTAAATCTTTTCTGAGCTCTTTCAAGTTTCACAACATCTTTCCAATAGCAGAGAGACCAGAACTGAATGCAGTATTCCAAAAGTGGCCTAGCCAAGGTCCTACATAGCCACAACATGACATTCCAATTCCTATAATCAATGCACTGGCCAGTGAAGGCAAGCATGCCAAAGGCCTTCTTTACCACCCTGTCTACTTGCAACTTCACTTTCAAGGAACTATGCACCTGCACCCCTAGATCTCTTTGTTCGGCAACACTCCCCAGGGCCCTACCATTAGCTGTACAGGTCCTGGCCTGGTTGCCTTACCGAACTGCAACAACTCACACTTTTCTAAACTCCATCTGCCACTCCTCAGCAATCAAGGCCAAAACATTATGATTTCAGTGAGATTTGGATTTAGCACTTGGGGCTAAAGGGATCGAAGGATATGGAAAACAAGCAGCATCAAGCTATTGAGCTAGATGATCAGCCATGATTCTAATGAATGTCAAAGCTGGCTTCAATGGCCTACTCCTTATTTCTGTGTTTTTGTAAAGATGGACTTTTGTATAGAGAATTAGAGAAATGCAGAAAAATAAAAATCTGAAGTATCATCTTACCCACACCCAATGTAAATACAAGTTATTGTTACCGCAAATTAATGAGAAATCTTGAGCTGGTTTGATGTTAAAAGTGGCCACCCTCAATATAGACCTCAGACTTTCTTTTTCGCATGCAAAGGCAATTAATAATTTTTCTCATGCTGAAGATGAAGGTGTTAAATTTTTTTCAGTTATTTTTTTCCACATGCAGCAATATTTAAAAACCTATTTCCAGCATGGCATTATAGAAAAGAAAAACTGGAGCTCAACAGCATTTTAAAAATCTAATGATTTAATAAAAAATTACTATATGTAAACTTAGTTATCCACGTAGGAGAGAAATTTAAACAAGGAACAGTCTAACTTGTACAGGAGTCTATTTATTACACTATATTAGTCAGACCAAATCATCTTAAGTAAACATAAGCCTACTTACAGCCTTATAAGAAATGGATGATGGATCTCGCTTAAGATACTTTTCTCATTATGCACATGCTGTTCCTGTTTAAGCCGGATTACATCAGGAATGCTCATCACTTTCAAAGCACAGTATTCTCTGCTCTTCTTGTCTTTGACCAGCAGAACTCGTCCAAATGTTCCAGTCCCTGCAAACAAAATAAAGTAGGGGGCACAATGTAACCTACATGCAACTGAAACTTTACCAACACTTGACAAGCCCACACAGAGGAGGAACTGGCAGCAATTTGCAAATTATTTGTAGCTTATATGGGAAATCTTTGTTTTAAGCATGTAGTATATTGTTAAAAGTACACTAGTCAATTGATCACCACCACATTAACAACTGCTTTCAAATAATTGTATGAATGTACCAGAATGACACAAAATTCACAATCGAAAACACCTTTATGTCAAGAATACATTTTACACCTTCTACAGTAAATGCAACACTTATTGGTCCAAATATTTTGATTCAATATTTCAAGGAAATATAGTTGTCGGTATTGACACCACTTAAAAAGCAAATCAATAAACTTCGATTATATGACAATGCAGAAATAAAGAAAAATGAATGAAAGCAGACAATAATAAGCAAGTTGATGTGAACAAAGAAAAATGTTTTCTATTTTAAACTTTCACAATAGCACCTTGATAAACTATTCAAAGCAGCGTTGGCAGACCACCATTCATATTCTCAAAAGGTTACTGACCATTTTAAAAAGGTGCAAAGTGGCAAAATCATTTTATGATGCTCCAAAGATGCAGGAAAGCTAATACTTCTTGCCCTGATTAAGCAGCAACCAGGTTGCAGGGAATCAGACACATGCTGATTCTTTGCTAAGGGGAATTAAAGAACCAATCGCAATTTAATTTTCTTGTGTTGGCCCACAAATGACCAAATTTCATAACTTGCTCGTGTGATATCCACGATTGATTTCAGTACCAAAATTACAAGCACTGGCCTTCCCACAACTCAAATGAAAAACAAGTGTAAATGATAAAATGTTTCTAAATGGCTTATATTAATCACAGGCTATGAATTCAGGAACTGGTTTGATTTTCCCCATTGCAGAGGTCAGTGTTAACTATAAATCAAACTTCGCACATTCCACGAGCTACTTCCAACCATGGCTCTTAAAAGGAAGTAGTTTTTACAAGCGAGATATTACTTACAAATCATCAGCTTTCTCTGACATCCTGTAAACTTTAGGAGGGGGGGTCAATACCTGAAAAGAATAGAGGATTTGAACTGAGACAGAGAAGCTCGTCACAAATTTTGACTTTTGGACTGGTAATCACCCTTGAGCAACTGGATGCCATCGTGCATTGTCTCCAATACAACGTCACAGCCAGCTCAATTTGCCTTGTTACTTATTGGCTATAAATGCAAATCTTTGGGTCTTCCATGAAACAATATTATTTTAAATCGTGTCAGCTAGCATCTAAATTAATTGATTCTGAAACAATTTATTTGAGACACACGTTCTATTTCTCTTTGGCTCAGTATGCTAACTCTCACTGCCTTCCGTGGAAGGCAAAACATCTCTGCCAAAAATCTACTTAGCAACATCAGTCACAAGGTACATCAGTGTTCGAGATAGAGAAGACAGAAACCATCTCAACAAACATTAGAGATTCAAGTTATTTCTATCAAGTTACTGGATTTCTTAAAAAAGCATTAAACATCTGGTGGATAACAGTACGTGCTGTCTACCTAGATAGACTTCAGAAAGCTATTTAATACTGCAATATAGCAGATTGGCTGCAAGGCAAATCATCATGACTTAGGTGGCTTGGGAAATGGCGAAGTGGTAGTAGCAAAGGGTGCAAAGAGCTGTCATAGTGGAAAATGATTGCCAGTTGAAGGCCACAGGGATGATTGCTCATATCAACAAACAGATATTGCTGAAGTCCTAACCAGCATTTACTCCTTAACTATAATACTGCCAAAAACATTTCTATTTGTGGGACCTTGTTGTATGCAAATCGGTTGAGTTTTCCTCCTTCCGACAATATTCTTTTTTGTAACAGTCACAACAATTCAAATGCATTTCATTGGCAGTAAAGTGCTTTGTCAAATCCTGCAAGTTCTCGGTTTCACAGGTCCATATTTGTAGGTGATAACGGCAATCAACATTAAATAAGTCAAAAGAAACCTAGATTGGGCAACTTTGTTTGGCAGATAAATGATAGGCATTGGTCAACAGAGATACCTTTAAAGACTTCAAGATCAACGTTTTTGCATGCTTCACTTATCAAACGGTAAGAGCTCTGAGGCAACATTGCAGCAAGGTGACTTGCCGTTTTTTAAATGTCATCACTAAGTTGCCTGTTTTCATCTGCATAACATTACCCAACTCCACCAAAGCCTCAGCCATGTTGCTAAAACTCTTATCTATTCCTTTAGTTACCGCCAGACTGAGCCATTCTACTGCACTTCTGGAAGGCCTTCCACATTTTACTACTGTCGTGGGTGAAGCCACAAACAGAAAATTAAACACCACCAAAAAAAACTGGTGTTCAAATAGAAGCAATGAATGAGTATGGAAAACTATTTTATCAGCTGTCCCTAACTGAGCATGGAAGAATCAACCATTTTGCTATTTAGCACATAGAAATCACACATCAATCATAACCCTTTTCTGATGAAGGGTCTAGGCCCGAAACGTCAGCCTCTCTGCTCCTATGATGCTGCTTGGCCTGCTGTGTTCATCCAGCCCTGCACCTTGTTGTCTCAATCATAACTCAATTTTGTTTATCAGATCATGGTTCAATTGTTATGTTTCTAGTCCAGCTGGAAGCGGAAACAAAGAAACAAAAATTAATGCACAATTTGTTACCTTCTCTATTCCTGTTCTTCATGGGTACAGCTATATAAAAAGCTGCAGGACATTCAAGCGACGTTGGATCGATCTTCAAAAGGATAGGTGTTTTTGAGGAAGGATGCTCTTGCTCTGAGGGTGCGCAGTGAAAATTTATGGGGCTGACGTATGAGGAGAGATTGACTAGGTTAGGATGGTTTTCGCTGGAGTTCAGACAAATGAAATCATAGTGACTTATAAAATCCTAACAGGACTAGACTGGGTAGATGCAAGGAGGATGTTCCTGATGGTGGGTGTGTCCAGAACCAGGGGTCACAGTCTGAGGATTCAGGGTAGACCATTTAGGACGGAGACGAGGAGACATTTCTTCACCCAAAGAGCCTGTGAAATTCATTACAACAGGAAGCGGTCAATGTCAAAACATTGAATGCATTCAAGAGGGAACTGGATACAGCACTTGGGGCGAATGGGATCAAAGGTTATGGGGAGAAAGCAGGATTAGGCTATTGAGTTGGACAATCAGCCATTATTGTGATGAATGGTGGAGCACGCTCTACAGGTCAAATGGCCTCCTCCTGTTCCATCATCTATGTTTCTATGTATGAAAGCAACCAAAATTTTCTAGTGAATTTAGTGACAGGATGGATGTTAAATGAAGAAATTGTTTTTTGCTCAGCTGGCAGTTGGAGGTTTTCAAGAAAACAGTTGAGGTACATGAGCATTGGGCAACATTGCATTATGGCAGACAGAATCAAACTGAACAATCTAGACAGGCAGGGGAAGTGCAGCAATGGGATCAGACTTTATCAGATCTACCAAAATCTGTGACTGTAAAAGGGACTATGCTACTGGTGTGAAAGGAGAGATTAGATGAGGATCCTGTATGATCCCAATGTCTTAACTTCTGCCAAATCGCATTCACACAATGATACTATGCTGACTGATCCACACAGTGGTTTACCAGTTAAGCAGTGTGTCAACTTAAAGATCATCCTCAAATTTAAATCTCTGCTTGGTCTCATCTCTCACTATCTTCGTAATCTCCTCCAGCCCTACATCTTCTATCAAGTGTACTAAAATTAGTGTCAGCATAATAATCTATTACCATGATATTAATATCATCACAGTCTTATACTGTGAGGACAGGAAAAGCTTAGAGAAAAACAGGGGTGAATTAATTTAATCTCAAAATGATAAACTTACTCATCCTTTAAGGCAAAGGTGGCTATGTTTCTCACCGTAACAATTCGATTGGGTTCCAGTGGTATGTAGGTGACCGCAAAGATCGAAATGGCCTGGACAAAGTGGATGTTGGGAAGATGTTTCCATTGGTAGGAGAGAATAGGACCCAAGGGCACAGCCTCAGAGTAAAGGGAAGACCTTTTAGAACTGAGATAAGGAGAAACGTCTTTAGTCAGAGTGGTGAATCTATGAAATTCACTGCCACAGAAGGATGTGGAGGCCAGGTCAATGAGTATATGTAAGACAGAGATAGATAGGTTCTTGATGGTCAAGGGGATCAAGGGTTACTGGGAGAAAGCAGGAGAGCAGCGTTGAGAAACTTATCAGCTATGCTTGAATGGTGGAGCAGACTCAATGGGCTGAATGGCCTAATTTCTGCTCCTACGTGTCTTATGGTCTACACCTATAAAAGGTACTATTGCACATAGGATAGGATGTAGCAAATAACAGAGTTGAGTTTTGAAGAAATCAAAAGTTCAGAATTGCCACTAAATTTTCTCTCTGCTTGACACAAACATATGAATTAGGAGCAGGAATGAGTCACTCAGTCTCTTGAACCTGCTCTACCATTCAATAAGATTACAGCTGATCTTATTATTCCATTTTACTGCCTGTGATAAGCTTTCACCCCTTTTATGAAGAATGTACCTCCAGCTGAAAAATATTCAAACACTCTACTTCTACTGTCTCAAGGAAGGAAGTTCCAAAGACCTCTGGCACTCTGTGAAACGAATATTTCTCATCATCTATGGCTGATATTCCTTTGCTTTTGAGACAGACAGCACCATTTTTTAATTTCGTGAATATTTTCTTTTGGGATTGAGCCACTAAGCTCTAGGCTCTAGGCTCTCGTCAGGTCTTCCGTGGCCAGCCTTAGTTGAGCTAAATTGGGATTTTGAAATTAGCACTTGTGAGTAATTAATTTAATCTGTAATGATAGTTACGCCTCTCCTGTAGAGCTTTAGAGTATACTTTTCATTGTTTGAAAGTATACTATTTATTTCTAAGCAGGAAAACGCCTGCTTCTTGCTCTCAATATGCATCCTCAGCTCTGTATTACTTGCACTCATCCAACTTGATTAGTTTCTTTAGGGGGGTGGGGGGGCGGCGGCGTGCAGTTTGCCCTGCTATTCCACAGGTGAGGTAGGGGATTCATTGTGAGGGGACAGGCAGATGAAAACTCACGTTCTGATAGCCTGAGGTACCTTTCATTGATGTCAAGATTTTCTGACTGGTCTGCTGGTGTTCCACCATTCCACACACTACCCTTTCCCAGAATTGACAAACACCTAAGGTAGGAAGAAGGAGATCCTACAAACAATGGGAAAATAGTATTATGATAATTTTGGCATGCCATGGCACATCCAGCTTTGAATCAGAAACAAGTGCACAATCATTCAACAGGAAATTGTAAAGCACAGTCCTGAAGACCTTGGTCTTTGTCTGGAGTTCTCAGATTTAGCCGCATCCCATTAATGTGGTATCTGACTGAAGTCAGGATCACCATCATGGAAGGTATCAGACAGCATGGTGGACAGAACATGAAGATGAATGGCATTAGCACAAAGCCCTGTTTAACGCCATTAGTTTTTGCCACAATAGGGGAGTGAAAGTAGACAGCTGGGAAAGACAAAGCATTCAATTTAGCATTACACAGGAAAAGTACACTCGAGTATTCAAGGAAGTAGCCCCAGAAACAGTAGATGCTTTGATGGTCATCTTTCAAGATTCTATATACTTTGGAACAGTTCCTATGGATTGGAGGGTAGCTAGTGTAACACCACTATTTGCAAAAATGACGCAGAGAGAAAACAGGGAATTATAGGCCAATTAGCCTGACATCAGTGGTAGGGAAATTGTTAGCATCCATTATGAAAGAGTTAGTAGCAGAGCACTTGGAAAACTGTGAAAGGGTTAGACAGAGTCAGCACAGATTTACGAAAACTGATGCATGACAAACCTACTGGAATTTTTCAAGGACATCATTAGAAGAGTTGATAAGAGGAAGCCAGTGAATGCGGTTCATTTGTAAGAAGTTCTAAGATACTTTGCAAGGGTGCTGCCTGTATTAGAAGGGGTTACATTGTCCTGTAATTAGATAATAAGGTTGTATGCATCATAAATGCTGCAAGAGAGCACGATCATGTGATATTCCGCCTCAGGAGCCTAAAGCCCAATGGCCTAAATATGGAATTCACCAGTTTCAAAACCTTCCCAACCCCAGCCTCATCCCATGTCCAACCCTCCCTCTCATCCCCGCCTCTTTGACCTGACACTACCTGTCCACCTTCATCCCCACCTATCCGCCCCACCCTTCCCACTGATCATTCCCCGCTACGCTTACCTGCATCCACCTATCGCCATCCCTCCTACCTTCCCACAGCCCCATCCCTCCTCCCTCTATTTATCTCCCAACTCACTTCCCCTTCCCCAGACCTGAAGGCAGCGCCAGGCCTGAAACATCGATTCTCCTGCTCCTCTGACGCTGCCTAACCTGCTGTGTTGCTCCAGCCCCACACTGTATTGACTGTTTTCATTTTGTAATTCTGCAGCAATTCGAATCATGTTACTGTGACCATTGCCAACTGTATAAGCAACAATTAAACATTGAATGAGCTACAAGTCCCAAGATACTTTGAGTTAAAATCAACTGTCAACATAAGCATGTAATTTGCATTGAATTTCCATAGGTTCAATCACAAAACAAGTAGATGGCTGAATTCAATAACTAAAGAAAGAAGATAAATTAGAAAGTGAGAATCTCATGACACAGTAAAAAAGCACCATCTCCAGGCTGTTATCCCTACAACTTACTCAAAACAGGAATTATTCATATGTATTCACAAGATTATCTAAAGAAATACACACTGAAAGATGACTTACTACCATTTTAATCTGGCCTACATGGATTTCAGAACATTACAATAGTAAATTAGATGAGCGCTGAGCTAATATAAATGGCAGATAGGGAGAGGGGCTGAAATGCAATGAATGTGGGATACACAGACAAACTTGGAACAGTGCAACAAAGAAGCTTTGGGGTGAATGCATCAAACCTGATCAAATATTAATGCAAAGGGAGGAAACAGAGCAGGAGTTACAGTTTTTCAAGTCGATACTTGTGAAATGCCACAGGAGGTTCCTCAGGGAAGATATTTTCAATTCAGTGTATTTAGACATGTAATTACACACCACTGGAACAAGTGGGCTTTGAACTCAGGACTCCTGGCCCAAAGACTGGGACACTACCACTGTGCCACAACTGCCCCTTCCACAAGGCAGTACTTTATGCTCAGCCATCTTCAGCTGTCATC